CTTCTTCTTCTTCTTCTTCTTCTCATTCTTTACCTCCTTTTCCTTCCCAGAACACCCGCTTCTGCAACTAGAGCCAAAGGGCCGCCATAGTTCCTTTTCAATTGAAGAACTTGAGACTCTTGGCTYTTGAGGGAGCCAAATAAGTCTGCTAATGTCCATGTTTCTAGATCTAGAAACATTATTTTAAATTGCAACTTTCTACTCAAAAATTGAGAAGTCCAGAAAAATCATTGAACTTTCTTATTTTAAATGATTAAGTCCCTAAACAATTATTTAACAAATAAACCATCAAACTTTTAGAAATGAGTTACCTACATCATTTCACCAAGAAAAAAAATAACCTACCTCTAATCCGGGTTGAAGATTTTAAAGTAGAAAAAACTTAAATTGGTTTTATCGTCTCAAACATTACACCATTTTAAACCCTCGTTGCCCCGTCGTCGTCTGCTCTCCATTACCGTCATTGTGCCATGCCATTGATCTTCCTTTTTTCATTATCTTTTTGCTTTCCAATTATCCCTATTTTTGATCCATCTATATGTATTCCATTGAGTTGTTGGAAAAAAAAGACAAAAAAAAAAAAAGATCAAAAATAGGGAGATCGATTGCATGGGGTAACGACAGTGATGGGTGGTGATGGAAAGCAGACGACAATGGGACAACAAGGGGTGACGGGAGGAGACGATGGGTGCGATGAGTTTAAATGATGTACAGTTTGAGAATGGTAAAATTGATTGATTTAGGTTTTTAACTGGTAAATTGGGGGGAGCGATGTCGTTGGAAATGGTAAAATCAATTTGTAACCGCTAACATATAACTTTTTAAGTTAAAAACCAGTAGATGGTGTCAGTGGTTTATTTATTTAAAATTTGATTCAAATACTTATTTTAAAATGAAAGAACTTAATGAGTTAATTATTAAAAAAATTATTCATCTATTTAATTAAAATAGAAAATTTCTTTGGGTATTTCTGAAATTTTCTCCCCAAAAGTCATATTTTTATTTTTACTTTTCTACAAAATTTGATGATACATATTTAACATACCAAAGAAACAAATTAGAATAAATACAAGGGTAACTTTTTAAATACAACTTGATTTTGGGAGGATATGGTTAAAATATTTATAACTTTTGTATTTCTATTCAATTTGTATTTATATTTTGATTTTGGTTTTAAACTTCAGTACAAATAGAGAGAGCGTGTTTAGTTCAAATGTTAACCCAAATTGTTGTGTTAACTTTGTGAGTCTTTTCAATCAATTACAATCCATCTTAGTATTAGGTTCTACTCTATCTAAGAATTTAATGTTAAGGGTATATGGGTATTTTTTTTTAACTTCTATATCATTAATTGTGAGTTACAAGATCTATAAAATCTCATGATTCTTGCTTTTTAATATTGATCTTGTGATTTTTTCATTTTTTAATATTGATCTTCCATTTTTAATATTTATAAATTTGTGATTGGTAGATGAGATTCGTTAGTAAGTGTTTGTTATCGTTCAAGCTATCATAGATAAAGACATTGGAAAACAACAGGACAACATTGGGAATGTTAAAATTGTTCATGGTGACAGTCGGAGTTCGAGATCGGGAAGTGAAGTAATCAAAGAGAGTGTCTCGATAATTATGAACACAAATTAACATATATGACACAAATTGACATGTATACACCCATATGAACATAAATTAACATATATGAACATTTGTGACAATTATGAATACAAATTGAACATATATATGAACATTTGTAATATTTGTAAAAGTTATGAAACTACTCTTCATCTTTCGCATACCCATATGAGGGATTATTTGATGTTTCACGGTCAAAGCAGCAAATATTGACCAGATGAAAGAATATGATCAATTCTTTACATCTCAAATATTTACCATTTTTAAATGAACCTTTGCGTATATAAAACCTGATACACATTTATATAAACAATGAACTGAAAATTCATTAATTTTTAAAAGTCAAAGCTCATGCAAATATTTGAAGTAATCGAAAACGAGACATATAAAGTAGGATAGGAGCAACGATAAAGTGAATAAAAAGTGGAAGAAAGATGTGAATAAAGGAGTAACTTCCACTAATATGTACCATTTGCCATATTTAGCAAAGCATATAACAATTTTTAGGGTGTGCTTCGTATATTGAACCGTATAAAACGAAACAGAATAAGAATTACTGTTCTACTTTAGTATGATTTTTATGTGGAATAAAGTAGAAGAAAGTATAACTGGTGTGTTTTTACCTCCATTTTATGGAACAAGCCTATATCTATACTATATTATAAAGCATTTGACAAAAACTCTTAAAAATCATTTTTATGCATGAAGTACTGTTTATTGATGCATATTACTTAAAATTCAAGATTACAAGTAGTTTTGCATAAGTACAACTTATTAAAACTTATTTTTTAAATTCGTGTAACTAACTGCAGATAAACATAATCAAATATAGGATAAACATCTCATTTTAAATATAAAAAATCTAAAATATAATTAAGATAATCATTGAGTACTAACATAATACTTAATTATTATCTTTATAAGAAAATTATAGTATTAAACCAAATATAAATTACTTCGTTATTAAACCTAAATTAAATTATAATAAAAAATTGACTTAAAAAGGTTACACAAAAAAACAAGAACTATTAAATAGTTAATTTGATACTAATATCAATTTACTTTTTTCAAATTTTTATGTTATCTTCAAATTTATATATTTCATTCAAAAATAAAAACATTATCGTTTTCTCAAAATCACATAAAATCATATTATATCGATAAAGACAAAGAATTAAAACTAAACATTTAAATGAAGATTTATCTCGTTGTATTGCACGAGCCCCCTTCTAGTTAACCAATATACCCTCAAAATAAAACATATTTCTCTTCTGAAATATCAAATATGTTCACTCTTGCATTTTATCTATTATTTAAATTTTATTTATTGTATTTTTATTCTGTTTAAACTTTCACTTTATTGTTCTCAAAGTATTATTTTTATATGTTTTCTATATTTTGGTTAATTTATGGAGTAATTTATTAAATATTAGTAATAAAAATAATATAAAAAAGTTATAATATAAATGTGAAATTAATAAACTTCCTATTTTGATGTTACTATAATCGTCTTGATGCGAACTTTCTCATGATACATATTGTTACAAAAAATATTTATTTTATTATAATTTAATAAATTAATCAATATATAGAAAAGATATAAACAACTCATTAGGATAAATTGGTTATTTTACCAGTCATGTCTTACCAAATGACGAACAATTGTCCCGTCCTATCATATTCTGTCATATCCTACCGAACGCACCCTTAAAAAACATGTTGTTTGTCTATTTAAAAGAAATATAACATTTGATTTGATATAAATTACTAACGAGTTGGATTATCAGCTAAAAATATATAAAAAAATTCGAAGCTAGCTAAAGGCTAAGAATCTAGCTAGGAGCTAAACCTGTAACTTAGCAACGATATGAAAGATGACGATGTTAATCCAGACAACCAATCAAAGCATACCAAATGCACCAAATTTTTTATCTTACTTGAAAGCTAGGTCTAATATGATGGAATGTACATATACCTTGCTTCTATTCCATTGAGATTGAGGAGAGAGAGATGTCAATACAGATGTTCTTTGTAATATTTTTGGTATAATCCTAGTTAACTTTTGATCTTTACGTTATGGTTTAATCTAGACGAAATCATCAATTCGATCTAGATATTTGACTAATCTACATTAAATATCATACCAAAACAACTAAATTAATTACAGAAGCCAAGGTATACCTCATGGATCAAAAAAAATCTTTAGCGTAATTCTTAAAAGATACCGTAGTAAATTTAGACCAAATCCATATTGGAAAAAAAAAATGTTACATTCAATTATAAACAACTCATAATATTTGATAAAGAAAGCTTCAAATGACTCGAGCATCATACTTCATCGATGTCAAAAGCTACGACTTTGTGGTCATACACCACTGCATCTGTGTTGTTGTATTTTCATACGTTGTTACCGGCCAGTCTTCTTTCTTCGCCTTCCTTTAACCTTAAACGGTTAGAATAATGATATTTCAATTGAACTTGTGCTATCAATTGATTAAAGTTAGTGTCTACATCTCGAGACATGCTTGGTTTTTGCTTAATTACCCTAATTCCTTCCGGTCCGTACACATTTAATGCTTAATAGTAAACGAATCAGATAAACGATCATGTATCTATTGCTTATATCTTAATAAAAAGAAATGTATATATGAAAAAATAAGCCCTAATTAAGCATTTATAAATTGGAATATATGTTCTTGGGATGAGAATAGTATTTGAGAAGAAGGAATTAATTTGGAGTGGTGTAACCTATTCAAAGACAAAAAAGTCGCTCTTTTTTTGGCTGCCTTTCTTTGGGAATCTCCCTCATCAGAACAGCTTTTAACAAATTTCCCAGCAGAATTTCCATGAAAAATCGAAATCCCTTTTCTTTCTTGTTTCGTTCTTCCATCGGCTTCATCTGAAACCAATTTCTCAAACCCTCTCTTCTTTCCTCCTCTCTTTTAATCTTAAATCAATCTTTTACACACCCAATGATGCTTCCCGCCACTGCTTTTTCATCGTCTTCATCTTCATCTGCTAATTCAGCTGTTGTTCGAGTGGATAAGGCCACCAGCGAATTCTTGAACGGTCCTGATTGGACTATCAACATCGATATCTGTGACACCATCAACGCGAATCATTGGTAATCTATCGTCATCATCGGTTCTCCTTGATGTTTACAGACGATAAAAGTTGACCCTTTTTTGATTTGGGGCTTGTTGTTCTAGGGTTTTATAGTTGTTGTTAATGACTCGCAACTGCAAATAGAGGAAATCTTTTATGTATTTTGTGTGTTTCGTTACTGGTATGTTGGAGTTCATGCTGTGATAATCTGTAATTTCCATAAAAGAAACCAGAAGTTGACTTTTAACATGGGGTTCGTTGTTCTAGGTTTTGTACATGTTTTTATAATTCGAAACCTTAATCGGAGAAGATAATTACTGTTTCTTAATTGATTCTAATATATCAACTGCATGCTGACTTAATCCATAATTTTCCAAAAGAATACAAAACACCCCCTTTTCATGAGATGGTTTTGTGGTTTCTTGAATCACAGAGCTTAATAGTGGATACAAGCTCTTTTTGTGATCATCAAGTGTAGACAGAGAAAACAGTTTTTGAGTTTTGGAAAGTTCCTTTACAAATTTATAGTTCTTGAGTTGGTTTTCTTGTTCATTTCTAGGGTTTTTATACATGTTGAAATTGGTACTCAAATTTCACAAATAGTTTAGATTTGTTTAGTTTTCTTGTACCTTAATCATCATCTTAGGGTTTCATGTATTTACTTGTTAGGATTCTTAAGTGAAAACAGAGATATCAATTAAGGTTTCATGATTTTCTTTCTAGTAAATATCAAAAAATATATATTTCACTAAGTTGAGTTGTCTTGTTAGTTGTTGGGCCTTATATGTGTCAAATATTTCGTTTATTAAATGCACACAGAGAAAAAAATTGATGCTTCATAACTATCTATTAGGCGGTTCATAACTTTGCCTTCACTAGAAAAAGAAGTTAACTTTCTTCAATTCTTGTCGTCATGTTTGATCACGTCATTGTTCGACAGAAGTCTATTAATGAGTGATTAACTTTCCGATGTTGTAGTCAAGCTTTTCTTTGCAGACAGACCATCATTCTTGTGGAAATGCGGAAACAACATTGCACTTTGTTAGAATGAGTGATTTTTACCAAATTATGGATATGTAAAAAAAATGAAAATCGTTCTTTATGGTAAGGGTTATCTGCATTTTAGCAAGAATGATGGTTTATTTGCAACAAATTGCCACATGTGTTGGATTGGAAAGTATTAGTTGGAGTGACAATCATCCTTGTATGACTATAATTTTCCAGGCTTGCGAAAGATGTTGTCAAGGCTCTGAAGAAAAGGCTACAACACAAGAACCCGAATGTTCAACTACTTTCCTTGACGGTAATTTGTCTTTTTGAAATAATTGTTTCATTGCAACTGTAGTCGTATTAGTTTTCATGTTTAAAGCTTTAGATTTTGTTTCTAAATTTGAACCGAGTGGATCATTGTGGATTGTAGCTTCTAGAGACAATGGTAAAGAATTGCGGTGAGAATGTTCATTTTCAAATAGCCGAGAGAAACATACTCCCGGAGATGATCAAGATTGTTAAGAAAAAGGTGAAATTTCCTTTTCTCTTTACTTGTTACTATTCCCGCCCGTAAGAAAGTTCACTTTTGACTTTTAGGGTCAAGTCGATTCCTTTTTCACTTGAAATTGGTGATGGTATTTCTGTTGTACAGAAAAGTTGGTAACTATATTAAAATTGGTTTACAACCACGCCCTTTCTCCTATGTATCACCAATTCTGTTCATGTGAGAATAACGTAAAGCATAGTCACCAACCTATCAATTAAGAAATTAACAATAGGTTTGTATTAACAAAAGATAATGTAAGATAATGTAAATGTGCAATGCGCAGCAACTGAAGTTGCATGTTATTAACCGAAGAATTTTCATGGAAAGGTTTGTGTACATCCTATCCTCTCCAGAGTCTATCTATTTGTGGGATATACTCGGCTTGTTTGGTTTGTTTTGTTTTGTTTTGTCTTGATTCTTTTGTTATTATAACCCTATGAATTCACTGATCTTTCATTTCTTACAAGTTGAAGGTTTCTAATGCTTACAACTGGCTATTATATGATCTTTCATTGTACTTATAATTTTTTTTGCAAGTTGAGTCACCAATAAGAGGATCTTATATTATTTATTCTTTTTCTTTCTTGTATATCTAATTACATTCTGATCATATATCCTTTGTTAGCTCACATTTTTTCAATTGTTTGTTATGCACATCATTAGACTTGTTTGAAATGGGACACATTACAAGATTGATGAGAAAAGTATGTTTTGCAGACGGACATGCGCGTAAGGGAGAAAATATTGGTACTCTTAGACTCTTGGCAAGAAGCGTTTGGTGGCCGTGGAGGAAAATATCCTCAATATTACTTTGCTTATGATGAACTACGGGTAAGTTTACTATGTTTAGATGATGAATCTTTTACCTGTCAATTCAATGAATAATGATCTTAAATTGGATCAATATCATGAATAACAACATATGAGCTATTAAATTAATTCGTCATCGAGAATTGAATGGTATAACATACGAAGATTTTTTATCCGTACCGAAGATTCCCAGCCCAATCCAAAATCTTTTTATATATCCTTCTTTTTCTATAAATTGTGATGATCTCTGTCATTGGATTTGGAAAGTGCCCATGTTAAACTTGTGTCTAACCATTAACTTCGTCACAAATTGTTCATATCAAAACTTATCGATTGTCCATTGTCATTACAAATAATTGGTGTAATTGGATCAAGAAATTACATCCGTGAACTCCTCAGTCGGCTGTTGTTGCGATTTATTTCCTTTCAAGAGGGAAATGCTCTCCCAAACTTCAATTACAAATTTCAGAATGAATATTCCAGACACCCCGTCCTCTATTTAACACTCTCTCACCTCCACTATGATTTGTTACAAAGATAGACCGTAACTGACTAAGGGATAATGGACACACCACTAACTCATAGAAAAAGACTGAACTACCCTTTGTTCCTCCTAGAGTAAGTATACTCAATCGCCTTTGCATCAATAAGTTGATGATATTCATTTGGATACACAAAATTTTCTTTTTTGGGCAAGTTTTCATGTTTGTGCAAAAGGGTTTGTAACCATGGACCCTCAAGCCGGACCACACATCATTAGAGCATCATGTTAGAGGCAAATAAAGTACTCAGTGGCCAATAGGTGGCTGGCTTAGAGCCTAGTGCCCACAACGAGCCAATCCCCAAAGGAATTGTACTTCCACATTGCCGCTGCTAGATTCAAACCCTCGCCTGTTTGTGCAAGTATACCACCCTGTACTACCCTGGAGGGCAAGTTTTCTAGTTAAAATGACCTATCTGCCTATAAAGATATATTGAAGGGTGTTTTAGTCATTTGACAAATAGTCAAACATATGTCATTTTGGATCTTGAGTTAGTTTTTATATATTATGTTTACGATGACAGCAATCTGGAGTGCAATTTCCTCACCGGTCACCTGATGCAGCTCCAATATTTACACCTCCCGTTACCCATCCATCTTTCAGACCCCCTCAAGCAAATTACGGAATGCCAAGCAATTCTTCAACACGGCTTGATGAAGCCATGGCCTCTGAGATTGAAAACTTAAGGTATTTTTATTGCTTCTCTACATTATTTTTCTTTTTTAGCACCCTTGTGAAAGAAAAGTGGTGGTTTGAAGAAAATGAATAATAATCTTTGTCTTGTTAGTCTGTCAATGATTGAATCTATGAGAAATGTTTCGGATCTCTTAACTGACATGTTGCAAGCAGTTGATCCAAATGACCGCATGGTACGTGCATCTCTTTTCTTTCTTTTCCTTCTTTTCCTTCTTTAGGGGATGTATGAATTCAGTAATTTTGACTCATCTTTTATGTTAATAGGCCATGAAAGATGAAGTCATTGTTGATGTTGTGGACCGGTGTCGATCAAATCAGAAGAAATTGATGCAAATGTTGGCTTCCACAAGGCAAGTACACTACAACAAAATCGACTTTATGGGACAGAAAATATGTCTAAATGTCCAGGATTTACGTTGATAGGACCACACTTGTGCGTCCTATGTAAAAATGTTAAAATAAGTTGACAAGACGTTTTTGGGCATCTTAACGAGTGTTTTAGGACAATTTCATAATAAAGTGATCTATTACCTTTTTTTAAGACACTTGTAAGTAAATTCTAAAACCCTAAACTCCTAGATATTCTTTTTTGTGGCAGTGATGAGGAGCTTCTTGGTCAGGGTATTGAACTAAACGACATCCTGCAAACTGTTCTTGCGAAACACGATGCTATTGCATCTGGTTCTCCATTTCCTGTTCAAATAACGGGTTCTATCACCCCACCATCCAATGCCCACAAGTTCCCAACTGAGTTTACTGAAGAAAAAGAAAACTCGAAATCAAGTCCCGCAGGCTCTGCCCCGGTTCCAAAGAATGAACCTGAAGAAGAGGAAGACGAAGATGACTTTGCTCTGCTAGCTAGAAGGTTGACCCTCCATTGTTATCATCCAAAATCTTGACAGTTATATATATGCTTCTGTTTGAATGATGCAATTGAAAACTTACTTTTTTGTGCCAATTTGCAGGCACTCAAAAGCACAGACTGCTGTGTCTCAAAATGGGGTGGGAGGACATGACCCAAGAACCAGCTCGGATCCTTCATCGAGTATGGCTTTAGTTCCGATTGATCCACTTCCACCAGTGAATACAACAAGAGCTGAAGATATGATAGACTTTCTGAGTCTCACCTTATCAACTCCAAATACAACCTCTCCACCACCACCCTCCCATCCAATCTCCGCTACTTCCTCACACAATGTTGACCAAACACCACCAGTTTCAGCCGCCACTCAGAGCTATCCTCATCATGCTCAGGTGCCCTTAAATAGTTATGTTGTGCCATGGGCGCAGTCTGAACTCCAACCCCAACCCCAGCCCCAGCCCCAGCCCCAGCCCCAACCACATCTGCAGGTTCAGCCACAGCCGCAATATCCACAGCAGAACTACTCATCTGGCTATATTCCACCACCATGGGCCGCCACTCCTGGTTATTACACCAATCAATATCCTTCATCTTCGGTGCCTTATACATATGCAGCTCCCGTGCCGACGTCTTCATATAGTAATAACATCCAATCACAGCAAGTGAATAACATGAGAGCATCAGGCACAAATGGAAACGGAAATGCTTCTCAAAGACCCTTTATTCCTTCGTACAGATTATTCGAAGATCTTAATGTGCTCGGGAATCCAAAGGCAAATTCTAACCTTCCTGGGTCTGGCCAAAGTATGATGGGTGGGAAAAAATAAAAGAAGAATGAGGTTTTATATGTCGATACTGGTTTGGGCATGGGTGTGCATTCGTTTAGATCAATTTATTGGATTTAGAAGAACATAAAAGAAGCCGGTTTTGTGTCAGGTTATGATTTTAGTATATGGGTTTGTATCTATAAACGTGTTTGATAGTTTTAAACCTTTTCGAATGTTGTTGATTTAGGCATCTTTTTAACTTTCCAGATTTTGCAACTTATACCTTGCTTCATTTGGGTTAACAGGTTCTTAAAGTTCGGTTCGATATGAAACAATGTGTAGTAGATGTTAAAGATGAGGTGGTAAGACATGTTCTTGCAGGAATTGGGAATCGACAGCTGATGAAGAACAATTATCGATTAATAAGAAAATTAGAAGATAGAGTTGAGAAGGATCTTTATTTAAGCACCACTCCTCCAACAAACATTCTTAGCCACTTTCCTTTTCTACCCTTTTAAACCTTCTAGAATATACCTTTAAAATATTTGGTTTATGTAGGCTTAGATCCATAACAATTGGATCCGTAACATTACTTCGCCCTTTAATTAAAGTCTTGTCCTCAAGACTTACATCTGGAAATTGGCCTTTAATAACCAACGCATCTTCCCATGTTGCTTCGTTCACGGAACGATCCTTCCATTGAATTAACCATTGTAACACTGAATCATTGTGATATCCCACCGTATGCTCCGCAAGTATAGCAACTGGAAACAACATATCAGCTGTGTTGACCTCCAACTCCGGGGGAAAATTCTGCTCCACTGCATTTGAAAGTACGGCTTTCTTTAACAATGAAACATGAAAAACCGGGTTTACTTTTGAGAAAACCGGCAACTCCAATTTGTAAGCGACTGGTCCAATTCGGTCCACAATTTTAAACGGCCCAAAAAATCTTGCTGTCAATTTCTGATGTATACGAGGAGCAACTGACATTTGTCGATACGGCTTCAATTTTACATAAACCAATTCGCCCACATGAAAATTCACCTCTCGACGTTTCTTATCCGCTTGATTTTTCATTATTGATTGAGCCCGCAACAAATGGACCTTTAGTTGCTTAATAGCTTCATCTCGATCCCGCAACTCTTGACCCACAGCCTCCACCCTAACTTCGCCGGGAATAAATTGAATTACGGTAGGAGGTTTTCGCCCATACACCACCTCGAAAGGAGAGGTACCCGTAGTCCCATGAAAGGAGGAGTTGTACCAGAACTCTGCCCACGGAATCCAGATAGACCACAAACGTGGTTGATCGATTGCAAAACACCGTAAATACATCTCCAAGCAACGATTAATAGCCTCAGTTTGGCCATCCGATTCTGGATGGTAAGCGGAACTCATACGCAACTGAGTACCTTGCAATCGAAAAATTTCTTGCCAAAAGTGACTAAAAAATAATGGGTCACGATCGCTAACGATGGATTTCAGAATCCCATGATGACGAACGACTTAACGGACAAAAATTTCAGCGATTGACTTTGCCGTATAAGGATGTTTTAAGAGTATGAAATGGCTGTACTTTGAGAGTCTATCCACCACTACTAACACTGCATCATAACCTTTAGATTTGGGCAATCCCAAAATGAAGTCCATCGATAGATGTTCCCAAATTGCATCGGGAATATCTAATGCTGTAAGAGACCACCCGGAGAAGTAGAGCTAGCCTTACAACGTTGGCATAAGTCACAAGCTTTAACAAACTACTGGACAGCCGCTATTATTCCCGGCTAATACAAAGTAGAAGCCAAACATCGATAAGTGCGATAATAGCCAGAATGACCTCCGGATGCCGATTTATGGAATTCCTTGAGCAATGAAGGAATAAACTTAGAAACTCGCGAAATGACCAAACGATCTTTGTAAAACAAAATGCCATGACGAACTGAATAACCGGAGTGGCTCGCCTGATCGCGTTGCAAATCGTGAATAATTTGCTGAATTTCCGTAATCGTTTCTGGCTTCGTCAATAAGCTGAGCCCCTTGCAGCCAAACTGGGTACGAAGCGATTGAGTGTAACTCGCCTTCTTTAGCCCGACGTGATAAGGCATCAGCCGCTCTATTCTCGCGGCCCGGTTTATAACAAATTTCAAATTAATAACCCAGTAATTTTGCCACCCAATTTTGTTGATCCGGACTTGTTACCCGCTGTTGAAGTAAAAACTTCAAACTCTTTTGATCGGTATAAACCGTGAAACGAGTTCCTAATAAATAGGAACGCCAATGTTGTACCGCCAAAACCAACGCCATGATCTCCCGTTCGTAAGCAGACTTCGCCAAATKATGCTCACTTAACGCCTTACTAAAGTAAGCAATTGGACGCTGTTGTTGCATTAACACAGCCCCAATTCCTTTGCCTGAAGCATCACATTCCACAACAAATGGAAGTTGGAAATCTGAGAAAGCCAATAATGGAGCAGTGACCAAAGCATTTTTCAAGGCATCAAATGCTTGTTGGGCATCCGAATTCCAAGAGAAGGAACCTTTCTTTGTTAAATCTGTCAAGGGTTTCGCAATACTTCCGTAGTGTCGAACAAACTTCCGATAGTACCCCGTGAGGCCTAAAAAACCTCGCAACCCTTTTAATTGTTTGAGTACTGGCCATGCTAAAACTGCTTCGATCTTTTTGGGATCCATTGCAACTCCGCTGCCGCTGATTATATGGCCCAAATACTCGATTGACTGTTTGCCAAACGAACATTTCTTTTGGTTAACCACAAATTGATTAGCCAATAATATTTGAAGCACAACCCGCAAATCGTCCACATGTCTAGACCAAGAAGGGCTGTATACAAGGATATCGTCGAAGAAAACGACCACGTACTTGCGTAATAATGGACGAAAAATATCATTCATCACAGCTTGAAAAGTCGCCGGAGCATTTGTAAGCCCAAATGGCATTACCAAATACTCGTAATGACCGTCATGGGTGCGTAAAGCAGTCTTCTCAATACTGTCCGGCGTCATCCTAATCTGGTTATACCCCGATTTCAAGTCCAATTTTGAAAAAAAACTGGGCACCTTTTAACTCATCAATGAGCTCGTCCACTACCGGAATGGGAAATTTATCGGGAATAGTAGCTTTGTTAAGTGCCCGATAGTCAACACACATACGCCATGAGTGATCTTTCTTTCGTACCAATATAACGGGGCTCGAAAAGGCTCTCTTGCTTGGGCGAATCATTCCCAATTTCAGTAATTCCTGTACTTGCTTCTCGATTTCAGCCTTTTGAATGTGAGGATAACGATAGGGGCGAACACAGGTTGGCTCATGCGGAGTAATCAACGAAATTCGATGATCATGAGTACGTTCGGGTGGCAGACCCGTCGGTTCACGAAACACAACCACAAAGCTGTCGAATAGTGTCTGTAAATCTCGATATTGGGTTATGGACAATGCCTCAACCTCTGCCGATTTAGATCGCACCCGATCCGTTGTTATAAGAGAAGGAGATGTAACCATCGAAGATAACCAAGTATGAAGCGACGATTGTGATCCTTGAGATTTTCCAAGACCTTGGAGGTGCACCTTAGTGCTCTGATATTGGAAACGCATCGACGATCGTTCCCAACTATGAATAACTTCACCCAACGTTTTGAGCCATTCAATACCCAACACCATATCGAAATGCCCCATATCAAAGACCAACGCTTTAACATCAAATTCACAAGTTCCCACCCACACTTTCAAGTTCGAACAACACCGATTAACGAAAATCTTATGGCCATCGCCCAACTGAATGTTGATACCCGAAAATAAACTAGCAGGCAACCCCAAAGCCGTTACTAATTTCTGTGAGACGAAGTTATGGGTGGCTCCGCTGTCTACCAAAATTACCACAGGAATGCTGGAAATTGCCCCTTCAATTTTCAAGGTTGTCCCACCGGTCAACGAATTAGACGAAACTTCTAAAAATTCCAACGCGGAATATAACCCGACAGGAACATCGGCTTCACCGTGACCCACCTGATCATCGATCATATCCAACACCTGAATTTCACCATCATCACCTACTGATTCATCCTCACCCAACAAAAGTACCCGCAGCTTTCCTTCCGGACATTTATGAGTTGGACTGAATTGTTGTCCACAACGGAAACATTACCCCCTCTTTCGCCTCTCCTCCCATTCTGTGCGAGTAAGTGATTGGACCCCCCGATTGCGATTAAGGAGCTGAGCATTGTCGAGGGAAGATACTCCGGGAACACGTGAACAGGGAAATAACCGACCTGAATCCGGCCGGTGAAGCGTGTTCTTATCGCTATTAGAGGAAACATTGGCCCCTTTAAACTCACAGCAGCCCAACGAAGTGGGTCGAGTATCATAAGAGTGCCCGGTATTTACTCCACCCCCACCTTGGTAACGAAATCGAGATAACGCCATGTTTTCGGGCGAGATCATCGCCTCTACATCCTTGGCTAAATACATAGCATCAAGGCAGGATTGAGGACGATGTAGACGTACCCATCGTTTAACCTCATCCCGTAGGCCCGCAACAAAATAACCCATAGATTGAGGTTCCGACAAACGGGGAACCAAGGATAATAAGTACTCAAAATCATCTATGTAATCATGAATAGAGGATACTTGTTTAATCGTTGCGAGCTGCTCATACGGGGTCTGTATTTCGAGGCCACTAAAACGCTGTAACAGCTCCCGGGTGAACTGTTCCCACGTGATCGAATCATAAATCTGACTAACAATTGTGAACCAGTGTTGAGCGACGCCTTCCATACTTAACTGCGCCAAATGAATGCGAAGATGAAGAGGCGTACCCTGAATATCGAAATACAATTCCGCCTTCTTAATCCACCCCTGTGGATCAAAACCATGAAATTCTGGCAGCTTGATTTTTTTTTGCGGCCCAAGGAAATCCTTGTGGAGATCCCGATTGTGAGCCGATAATTGCAGGACTCCCTCCCGACGCCATCGTAAATCCTCCTCCTGTTGAAAAACCCGAATTGGAGATTCCCCTGCTCTAAGGCATCGGGACATCACCCACCAACGATGTCGGAATGAGGGGAGAGTCACCGGAGACCATCGACGGTCCACCAACATCCGAAGTAGTCTGCTTACCTTGTTGTTTGACCCATAACATGACGATTTTGCAAAATTCCTCCTCGTCCGCACGATCGCCCTCCCAAGCCTTAATTGCCGTTTTGATTTCCAGAACATCCGACTGAAATTTATGGAGTTGTTTCTCATGTTGATCGAGACGGG